TCGCCATTGTACTGACTCACTATCAATTGTGAATCAGAACAGGCGTCTACTTTTTCTTGCCCCTGCCGCCTTGCACATGCGGATCCCGGCTAGTAAAGCTTCATATTCTGCCTCATTGTTTGAAGCCTGAAAACTGAAGCGTAGAGCATACTCGAACCTGTCGCCCTCTGGAGATTGACATACGACGCCTGCTCCACAACCGTTTGAAGTAGAGCTTCCGTCCACATATACCTTCCAGACTTGGTCTGGAACTTGAGAGTCAGGAGGACGAGTCATCTCTACAATAAAGTCAGCAAAGGCTTGCCCCTTCACTGCTTTTCTAGGCTCGAAAGTAACTTTGAGACTCTGCATTTCTATGGCCCATTTGATCATTCGTCCGGACGACTCCATGGTGGTAAGGGGCCGCTTGATAGGTTGGTCGGTATACACGACGACTGCATGTGCCAGAAAGTAGGGCTTCAATTTTTTAACAGCCATGAAGAGTGCAAGACCAAATTTCTCCACTAGGGGATACCTCAACTCGGCATTTTTCAGTACGTGACTGACAAAGTAGACCGGGAGTTGACAGCCGTCCCTTTCAGCAAGGAGCACAGCGCTTAACGCATGATCAGAGACGGCCAGGTACATGTAGAGATTTTCTTTGGGCAAAGGGCTGACCAGCCTCGGCAAGGAATGCAAGTGAACCTTTAATTTCTGGAAGGCGGCCTCAGCATCCGGCCCCCATTCAAACCTTGCCTTTTTCTTAATTGCCTGAAAAAAGTATAGGCATTTGTCGCCTGATCGGCTTAGGAATCTCCCCAAGGCCGCCAGACAACCTGTTAACTTCTGAACCTCTCGGACGGTACGAGGCGACTGCATATCAATGACCGCCTGTACCTTCTCAGGGTTCGCCTCTATTCCTCTCTGGTTGATAAGGAATCCGAGAAATTTCCCAGACTCAACTCCAAATACACATTTCTTGGGATTGAGCATGACATGGTGCCGCCTGAGTGTGGCGAAAGTTTCTCGGAGGTCCGTCAGATGATCTTTCTGAAGTTTAGTCTTGACAATCATATCATCAATATATGCCTCGACGTTTCTCCCAATCTGATCAAAGAACACTGTGTTTATCATTCGTTGGAAGGTAGCCGGGGCATTCTTAAGACCAAACGGCATGACCGTGTAACAGTACAATCCCTGATCAGTGACGAAGGCCGTCTTCTCCTGATCTTTCTTCCATAGAGGAATTTGATGAAAACCAGAATAGGCGTCCATAAAACTCATCAAGGCATGTCCGGCTGTTGAGTCGACCAGGTTATCAATTTTAGGCAGAGGGTAACTGTCTTTGGGGCATGCCTTGTTCAAGTCTGTGTAGTCTACACACATTCGCCAGGTGCCATTCGGCTTTTTAACAAGCACCACATTTGCAACCCAATCTGGGAAGTAACATTGCCGAATGAACCCTGCATCAAGTAATTTTTTGACTTCGGCGGCTGCCGCCTGACCTCTTTCTTCACCATGGTTCCGCTTCTTTTGCCGTACCGGCTTCTTTTTCGGATCCACAGCGAGTTTGTGTACTGCCAGATCAGGACTAATGCCTGGCATTTCATGGACTTCAAATGCAAAGATGTCCTTGTACTCTTTCAACAGGTTGTGAAAGTCGTCACCAAGGCTTCTCAGAGCAGTCGTCCCAACTTTGACTGTTCGGTCAGGACGGGAGTCGTCTAATATCAGGTCCGCATGCTCACCAGCCGGCTGAGGGCGGAACTCATCCGGCCGCTCCTCTGCCAATGATTGCTATTTTCTTGCTTTTCTTGCGGACTCTGTTTGGGACGCCTTTCTTTTTTTGTCGCCTGTTTCTTGAACAGGCACACTCTCCTTGACATTGTCAAGGTCTGTTTTTTCTCCACTTGACCCAGTGGCCATAACAGTGGGCTTGACATCCGAGAGATAGCACTCTCGGGCCATCCTCTGATCTCCCCTTAGGGAGCCGACTGTTCCATTATCCCTTTCAAACTTAAGCAGCATAAGTGACGGGATTATAACAGCCTTGGAATTATTCAGGGTTGGTCGACCCAGAATCATGTTGTAGGCCGAGAGTTCCTCTACCACTAGGAACCGGACTACCATGTGTCGTCCTTCCCCTTTTTCGCCCAGGCGAATGGGTAGATCTACTCGTCCCAGCGGGTGGACGACTCCTCCTCCAAACCCTATTAAAGGGTGGGAGGCCGGATGTATGCAGTCCGTCTGGTATTTCAGTTTTGACAGACATTTGCTGCTGATGAGATCTGAGGAGCTCCCGGTATCTATGAGGATTCGGCCAACTCTCTGGTTGGCCACTTTACATTCAATAACGAGAGGGTCGTCATGCGGCCCCCTTATTCCTCCTAGATCCTCTTCAGTGATGACAATCTCAGGAAATGTATATTTGGACGGCCGTTCTTGGTGAACGGAATTTACATCTAACCGCCTTATATAATCTTTGTTGCCCCTAATAGTGGGGCCGCCTCCTTAGAAGCCGCCTGCAATGGTGTAGACGACTGCATCATCTGTATCGGAACTGTCGGCCTGTTGATTCTTTTTGGCCGACTGCTTTTTTGAGGAAGTGTTCCCCGTAGATTTCTTGACATAAGTGTCAAGATCACCTTGATCAGCCAAGCGGTCTAGGTACCGCATGAGACTGATGCAGTCATTGGTGTGATGACCAACGTCATCATGATAAGCACAGATTTTGTCTTGGTTCCGGTTGCTTGCAGAACCCTTCATGGGGAGCGGCTTCTCAATTGAGAGCCGTCCCTTTATTTCTTTTAGGATAAACTGGTTATCCTTGTTAAACACATACTTCGGGGAGTATGGTTTGAATTCTTTTTTCTTTTTCTGAGTCGGCTGTTTAGAGGAATCAGCCGCCCAGACCTCTTTTCTTTTCTCATCTTTGTTGGATGACTGTTTCTGTCGTCCCTCTCTTTTGTCGAACCTCTTCCCGTCCGACTGTTTCATCGTACACAGATCAGTCGCCTGTATATAGGCTTCTGCTTCAATCAAGGCCTCTTGAAGAGTCGCCACCCTTTTTCGAACTAAATCAAATTTGAAGGTAGACCCGTCTTTGAGACCTCTAAAAAAGTCAGTATAAGCTACCTCATCCGGTAACCCTTGAATCTGTATTCTCATCAGGTTGAACCGCCTGATGTAGGAACGAAGCCCCTCCTTCTCGCCCTGCTGAATTGTTCCCAAATCAAGGGTCGTTTTCTTCGCAGGGATGTTCATTGCGAAGTTGGAGGCAAATAAGTAAGCAAGCGTCCTGAAGCTGTTTACACAACCAGTCGGCAGGTTGCCGAACCATTGCTGTGCAATTCCCTTGAGAGTCGCTGGGAAACACTTGCACCAAGTGGGATCATCCAACCCTTGAAGGTACATCAGGTTGGTGAATGCCATCAGATGGTCTTCTGGGTTAGTAGTGCCGTCATAGGCGCCTACTAGAACATTTTTTACTTTGGCCGGCTGAGCGGCTTCAGTAATTTCCTTGGAGAAGGCCGACGGCTGTTCACCAAGTCTAAGCAGCCGTAGCTGCCAGTCCATAGGTTGGACGTTTTTTGCTGCAGGTCCACCAAATGGAGGTGGCTGCATAAAATACTGTTGTTGCGGCACAAATGGTAAGTTTGGTACCGCCTGGGCACTATGAAAGCCGGACTGACGGGAGGTGCCGCCTGACTGACTCTCATGGTACGACTGAGTATGCCTCATCGAGGCATTTCGCAAACTGTCCTGAAAATTTGAAGTAGAAGCCGACTCTGATAATCGGTCACTCTTCTTCTGCTCTAGCAGGAGCCGAGCATCTGTGAACGTTTTCTTTGACCCGTCCGCCTGAATATGACGAACCGGTTTCCTATTTCCCGTAGGATAACGGAGTTTTGTAAAATCAAGAGCAGGTGGCTCCCGCTTCTTGGATTTAGGATGGGGAGTCGCCTCTCGCCCTTGAACTGGCTTCCTCTTCAGTGAAGTGGAAGGTTTCTTGGCAGACTGCTCTTTGACTGAAGCAGGCGGTTTTTTGTTGATCAACTCTTGAATCTCTCCCTTGAAGTCCCTCATGAAGGTCATGAGTTCGTTCCTTGTGATGGGAGTAGACCCATCAGTCGGCTGTTGCCGAGCAAGCGGTGCGCCTGCTGGCTCGCTTCCTGTTTGAAGATGCTCCCGTTCCCTCCTTTCGGTATGGCGGGTACGTCGGGCCCTTAGGGTCCCGTCTGGAGCTGTATGAGTTTCAACTTCAAATTCACTTTCGGTATCATGGTCCGACTGAACTTGAGGGTCGTCTAGGGGACGCCTCTCTTCTGGAGTCGGTATAGACTTGGATGCCATCTCTGAAGTACTCTCCCCACAGACGGCGCCAAATGTTTCGGGGTTTTCTGATGTCCTGCGGGAGAGTTACAATTCTGAGACTGGAACCGGACGCCTGTACCTGCAAAATAACGGAGACTCCTGAGAGCTCCGCCTCCAACGGTCAAGTTAGCACCTGATTAAGGAGTAATCAATACAGAAATTAAAGTAATGAGATCTCTCTGGGTGAGAGTGCTTAGTATTGGTAATCTGCGTCGTTAGCGAGATTAGCCGGTTGTTGATGTTCCGTAATAACTCTATTCTTCTCTGCTTGATTACTTTTTTCCCTCCTTAATTAATGAGGATTAATTGAGTATTTATAGCCTTGAGAAGCGTGCCACTCTCTAGGTTTAAGGTAAACCTAGGGCTGATCGGGCCTCTAGACTGAATTGGGCCTTGATGGCCGGTTTTCCCATTTGGCATGAGTGGACACGTGGCGTGTCTAAATTGGTCCGTAGAGGACGTATCTGTGATTGACACGTGTCAGGCTCCTGTTGGCCTTCGTGAAGGACACGTGGCGGAACCTGGTTGGTCCACTTGTCAGACGGTGATTGGTGGATAAAAATCCCCTAATCAGAGACAATAACATAATAAGTTGTTTAATATAGAGTAAAGTTAATAGATATATTATTATTCTGAAAAGAAGGGACGGAGGAGGTAGTGCATGAATTACCTGAAACCACAAGAGTTCCCGTTGCATTTGGAGAGCTGCACCCGAGGCCTTATTGAGAATTTTAGGGCAAGGTAAGGAGGAAGCCAAATGAAGAATATTATTTCTAGTGATGGGATGCACATATTCAGTTAGCAAATGGTTAACATCTTTTAAATGGAAAATATGACTAAAGATCTTCTCTTGACGGTACTCAACAGCAACATGAAACATGGTTTTTTGTTGTTTATCCACTTCCCATATTAGATCCGGGTACTCGCGTATAAGAATTTCGATGAACTCATTGTTGCCCACCTCTATAGCTTCAAAGAGCAGCCCGGGCGACGGAAACCATAAGAAACTAGAGATTTTCTTATGATCTCTTTCTCTTATCACTCTTTTCCAAACTTGCTGTACCAATTCTAGCTTGCGGTTATGATCTTTCTCTTGCTTCCCCCATTTGTTTTTCACTGTAACAAATTATCAATATGTTGTCAATATAATAATGTACTTGTAGCATATAATTAAACAATACTCCATTTGTCCCAAATAACTTACACAGTCAAACTTTGCATAAATGTTGACGTATTAATTTGACCTTATTTTTACATATATAAATAATAAAAATTATAAAATTAAAAAATATATATATATGTTATAAAACTTAATATCAATACCTATTTAATAAGCTACTTATTTTATGATATAATATGTTATTAAATGTTAAAAAGACTATAGTCAAAGTTAATATATAAATAGTGAAAAAAGTGTAACGCGTCAGTTATTTTGAGATGGAGAAAGTGTTTCATAGTATGTTAATAAAATAACCTATGTATTATATATGAGTTGTTGAAAAAGTTTAGCTAGGATAACTAACATATAAAAAATAGGTTTGATGGCATATTATCAATTGGTTATGTAAATCCAACTGCTAGTGAACAAGCCAATAATAAAATTATATATGTAGAATGGAATGATTTAGAATAAGTGGAATGGGACAATTGGAATTATATTGGAGTAGTTGAGAACCTACATGCATTGCAAATATACTCGAGATGACTTAATTTGCTCATCACTACTGGTGTCTTTCTGGCCAAGGCGAGCAATGGTGACACCGCGTTTCCATCCCGCTTAATGGCTAATTCGTCATCTTCATCTAGGATCTTCAAAGCCACATCTACAATTTATGTATTAAGGGATTAAGCCGATGAAAAACTATAAATAAATAATTTATTTCAACATTGCAAACTTACAATAGGAATTCCCTCGTGAGAAGGGCTTCCTAATGATAGCAAACTTATACAAAGTCTTATACAAGCATACCATATAAATCTTTTTCGATGACAGTGATGAGTAGATTGATGAGGTCTTCAGGAGACAAATTGTCAAAGTGAGTCATGAGATGATCAACCACCTTCTCATGGCCTTGCACCGCGGCCATTTGAATTGGTTTCTTGCCTAGGCTCCCGCCAATGTTAGGCAGATTTGGGTTATGCTTCTCCATCTCCTTCACAAGATCAAGTACACCCGAAGCAGCAGCCAAACAATAAGCTGTATTTCCGGCTTTGTTTGGCTGCACCAATTGTGTATCCGTTAAATTGGCGTGTGCAAGTAGTTCTTTTACAAATATATGCTTCCCTGCCGTTGCTGCTATGTGCAATGCTGTATTTCCATTTTTAGAAATTATTTCCGCGAAGCACTTAGGGTCTTCTACAAAAATTTCATGAGCTGATTTCCAATCACCATTGAAGGCCGCTTTGTACAATCGTACATGATAATCTTGGAAGCATCGTCGTCCTACAACATTCATGATGTACATTATGTAACACTCGTATTAGTTACAAGTAAATGATACTCTTCGAAAGGAAGAAATGTACTAGCTATATATTTGAGTGTTAGTTTACTTACCAAGCAAATCTATTTTAACATTGATTTGTTCAGGCTTTGCTGAAGAGTCCATCGGATTAATTAATTTGGCCAGTTAATATACGATCACGATTCACGATGATGTTTTTCAGGGAAAAAAAATGTAAAAGGAAAACGAAACCTTGAGTATTTGGAAGAAGATAACACAAACTCAGAGATTTGTATAGATCAGAAAAACTATATGGGTTAGGATAAAGTGATTAAAGGCAATATAATGACCCTTTTATAATGTGTAATTAAGTATTCTTTAATAAGACTTGATAAACGACTACCAAAAGAAGAGCTGAGCTAATTGGGAGCTAATTGGTCTTCAAAAGCTTACCTAAAGCCATTAAGTGAAGGAAAAAGTGAAGTTTAGTGATTAATAAAACTGAGAGACGTGTTTATTTTTTGCACTAAGAAATATCTTTTTGTTACTCGAACATCCTTTACACTCGTTTAAGATATAATTCCTCCGTTTTTATTTACTTGACTAACATTCCTAAAATGAAAATGTCATATTATTAAGGTTTATTTTTACATTACCACCCAAAAATGTAACCATTTTCGAACTAACCATCCGTTTAATTTTTTATTTTAAATTACCACCCTTTAAATTAAATAAATGCTCAGATTACCACCCATTTCAAAAATCCGGTAGATTTTCCGTCTGTAGGTCCCACCTAACACTTATTTAAATCATTTTGATTTATTTTTCCCCTGATTTTTCTCTTTAAAAACGCTCTATATACTTTAATTCACATTTCCATCTCCAAATTCAACCAAATTTCAAAGAGAAAAAATGTGAAATGAAGTTAGGAGAGCTTTTTTAAAGAGAAAAAACGGGGAAAAAATCAGTAAAAAGGGTCAAATAAGTGATAGGTGGGGCCCACAAACGAAAAAACCACCGGATTTTGAAAATGAGTGGTAATCTAAGCATTTATTTAATTTAACAGGTGGTAATTTAAAATAAAAAATTTAATGGGTGGTTAGTTTAAAAATGGTTACATTTTTTTGTGGTAATTTAAAAATTCCTTTATTATTAACCCATAGTATATAAGTATATTTGATAAGTTTTCTGTAGATAAATTATCTAAATTACCTCTCTTCTCTCTTTAAATATTGTGCCTAAAGATATGGATTAAGAAAATAGAAACAGAAGAAGTATCAATCTTATACTTGCGATCTCTTGCCATTATTTTAACTATTGTGCGATTATTATATCTAGACTTTAGAGTTATTAATATGAAGTACGTCGTACCATTCAAACATTCTATTTTATTGTACTTATATATTTGTATTATTATTCCAATTCCACTTCATTCTGGTCCAGCGGATGGACGTAATCACATGTATGATTCCTTGTTAGCTCTAAGCAACATCCAAAATTTATATCAATTTTTAAGAATATATATAATCAAAAAGGAAGGAAGGAAAAAGTGAGAAGATGAACTAGGTTATCTTAGGAGATCGAGAGCCTTCCTAGAAGTTACCGTCTCGGCTTCTCCATTTCAGAGAGGTTACACAAATTCTGTTTTCTTCTTATTGTAACTTTCTATCCAGAAATTAGATACTCCCTCTGAGTTTTAATAAGTGTTACACTTATTAAATAAGACCGTTTTTTTAGTAAGTGTTACACTTTTTTTTTTTTTGGCAAAAGGCTACACTTTACTACTATTTTTTTTTTAGTTGACAACGTTTGACTTTTACGCTATTCACACACTGTACTTTGACCCGCTTTTGTAATTTATAGATACGATAAAATATAACATGTGAGATCTTTTTAAATCGTCTTTATGTATATTTTATTAATATCCACTATTATAATTTTACAATGTTGATAAATAAAGTTATTAAGCGTTAAAAACATACGCTGACAAGCGTGATAATAAAAAGATGTCAACTAAAAAAAACAGAGGAAGTACTATATCTTTCTCCTCTCATGGTCCTAACCTAAACCCAATGTTACTTTTTTATTATTTCTTCCTCACACATTCATTACTTTTCAGTAAATTATTCACTATATTTCTTTTATAGTTTTATACTACTCCCACTACCCCACTTACCTCTTATTTTATTTAAGTTAATTAAATTGCTTTAAACTATGTGTTGGTCAAACTGTAACACTTACGAAACACGGAGGGAGTATATAATCATAATAAAGACCAAGAAAATACAAAATTGCAAAACATATACATGCAGAGAGTCGTCTTAAACTTTTGGGGCCATGTGTTAATAATAATAATAATAATAATAATAATAATAATAATAATAATAATAATAATAATAATAATAGCAACTTTTTGGTGCATGCAGCAAGCCACATCATGTGTCAGGGATTACCTGAGTTATTCAATCAAGGTTTACTCGAGTTACTCGGTAATTAAGGGGTTACTTGAGGGGTTCGGAGAGGGGTTACTCGAGGGGTTCAATTCACTTGGTCAAGAGTTACTTGAGGGATTACTCGATCAGAGGTTACTCGATTAGGCCGGTTATTCTAGGGGTTACTCGGTCATGGGTCACTCAAGTTACTCGATCAGAGGTTATTATTTAAGGAGTTCGGTCAGAGGTTACTTGAAAAGGGGTTATTTGAGGGTTCAATCAAGGGTTACTTGAGGGGTTAGTCAGTTAGGGGTTACTTTAAGGGTTACTCGAGGAGTTTTGACATGGATTACTTGGTAAGAAGTTACTTGAGGGTTACTCAGTCAGGAATAACTCAAGTAACCCCTGACTGAGTAACTTGCGTAATCCTGACAACTTTAGTAACCCCTGACCGTGTAACTCGAATAACTTTGGCAACTTGAGTAACCCCTAACCGAGAAACTCGAATAACCCTGACAATTCGAGTAGTTCCTGAACGAGTAACTCAAGTAGCCCCTGACTCACACTACAACAAGCCACAAAAAAAAAAATTGTGTAATAATATGCGTTTACATTTTTATCTCAAATACTTCTTACATTCCTTTAATAATAAAAAAAACGTAGATAAGAATTTTTTTATTTATCCACTAAAATTAATGGTAAATTATTTTTAGTAAGTAAGACCACCTTATTATTGTTGATAAAAGCATTTTGTCTAGGAAGACCAAGTCAGTCCAGGCCAGCCAAAGAAAGGAGTATCGGTCATCCTCAAATTTAAGAGTTAAATATATTATATATTTATTGTATGGTCAAAGAAGATAATTACATTCCTAAATTATAGACTACAGTTCCCTAATATATTGCCATATATATTATAGTTAAAGGAAATAATTAGCTTGATAAAAATGATAATTATCTATTTACAGTTAATTGAACCCTAATACGACCTGACTTAGAAATGACCCTACCTGATTGTAACCTGCAAATTATTGACTTGAACATAACTCGACTTGAATCCGAAAATGACCTGACTTGAAAATGACACAAATTGATTATGATCCGCAAATATTGACTTGAATCGAACTCGACTTGAACCCGAGAATTAATGACGACCCGACTTGAAAATGACCCGACTTGATTAAAACCCGCAAATCATTGACTTGAACCGAACCCGACTCAAACCCGAGAATGACCCGACCTGATTATAAACCGCAAATTATTGACTTGAGCCCAACCCGACTCGAACCCGAGAATTACCCTAACCCGTGAAAATCCGAATTAAACCCGACCTATGGTTCACCCGACCTGAATGTAACCCGGCCTGTTATTAACCCGACCCAAACCCGATAAGAAGTATAACTCGAATAAAGCATGACCAACCCAAACCCAACCCACATAGGTTATGGAATTAATCCGAGTTGACCCGACCCATTTACCCGAATTGACAGCTCTACCCGAAACCTTAAAAATTTCTCAAAAAGCGTGGATATTAGTCTTCAATTTTGGAATTTTTTGACTTTTTTTCACCCGGAAATAAAAATTGCCGAAATTTTTACCATGCTCCCTAATATTCTCCGGGATTCGAATTGGCTGGGTGGAACCATCCAATTTGCCTTTAAACGACCAATTTACCGGTTCACAACTTGCACCAATTACATTATCTCAAGCTTACCACGAACATGTATGACAAATATAATGATCATGTATGGTACCAAACGGAATTATATGACCCCGAAATGTATCCCCTAAAATCTCAATGATTTTCGACTCAAGGCCCGAAACATTCGAAATTTCTCAAAAAGCATGGATATTTAGCTTTCAATTTTGGAATTTTTTTAACTTTTTTTCGTCCGGATATAAAAATTTCCGAAATGTTTACTATGGTCCTAAATACACTCCGGAGTCCAATTGGGTGGGTGGAACCATCCAATTTGCCTTTAAACGACCAATTTATCGGTTTATAACTTGCATCGATTCCATTAATTCAAGCCTACCACGAACATTTATTACAACAAATAATGATCATATATGGTTCCAAACGACATTATATTACCCCGAGGTGTATTCCCAATATTTTCAAAACTTTTCAACACCGAACCCCGAAACCTCCAAAATTTCTCAAAAAGCGTGGATATAACCTTCAATTTATGAAATTTTTGACTTTTTTTGGCCCGAAAATAAAAATTGTCAAAATGTTTACCATGGTCTCTAATACCCTCTGGGAGTCCAATTGGATGGGTGGAACCATCAAATTTGCCTTTAAACGGCCAATTTACCAGTTTACAACTTGCGTCAATTTCATCAACTCAAGTCTACCACAAACATTTATGTCAACATATAATGATCATATATGGTTCCAAACGACATTATATGACCCTGAGATTTATCCCCTATAATCTAAAGGCTTTTCGACACTAGGCCCCGAAACCTCCTAAATTTCTCAAAAAGCGTGGATATTAGCATTCAATTTTGGAATTTTTTACTTTTTTTGGCCCGAAAATAAAAACTACCGAAATGTTTACCATAGTCCCTAATACCCTCCGGGAGTCCAATTGGTTGGGTTGAACCATCCTATTAGCCTTTAAACGACCAATTTACCAGTTTACAATTTGCACCGATTTCATAAATTCAAGCCTACTACGAATATTTATAACAACAAATAATGATCATATATGGTTCCAAAAGATATTATATGACCCCAAGATGTATTCTCTTGAATTTCAATACTTTTTGACACCTGGCCCCGAAGACTAAAAATTCTCAAAAAGCGTGGATCGATATAGCCTTCAATTTGTGAATTTTTTTACTTTTTTTCGCCCGGAAATAAAAATT